AGAAGTTCTAAAATTTTTTATGACATTATCTCTGAAATAAATCATCACCTCCAATTTACATAACTTTCAGACATCCTAAGAGGTCTGTTCAAGAACTGAATGGGAAGTGAGTAGGTGGAAGTCTCAAACATGGTCAAAGCTCAATTCCAAAAATGGGTTTTTGGTTCACTTCTTTCCCCAACTAGATTTTAGGTTCAGCACAGAGAGTTACCAAGGCACTAAATTTCTATGCCACATTACTGTAATAAGTGTTGTCTGGAAAAGTTTTGATTTTTTCCTCAAAATTGTTCCTAACAATTGTAGAGCAAACACACAGTATGCCAGCTGTCCATCACCTATTTCTCACATCACTGTATGAAATAATTCCTGCAGGAGGTTGGCATGTTCCAGGCCAGCTTCAGCAACTAAGCAAGGCCCTAAGCAACTGAGATCCCAAGCAAATTAGCGAGACCCTGGCTCAAAATAAAAATTAAAAAGGGGATAGGGATTTGGCTCAGTGGTTAAGCCCCTCTGGGTTCAATCCCCAGTACCCCCAAAAAAGAAAATTCTGAGAAAACTTTGTGTTCCCAATAACAAGTGACATCATCATCCTTCCTGCCCCACCTTCACAAAACGTTGAAGATCATCTTTCACAACATTTTCTCACTTGAGATATGGAAAGATTGTCTTACTGTGGTAATTTTAATTCTTAGTTTTAAATTCCTTATTTTTTGATGGTTTAATTTCTTAATCCTCTTGAATTTTCAAGGGAGCAAATGTGGCTTACATTCTAAATAAATAGAATAAGCACTTTATTATTTTAACTGAAACTGGCCTTGGGCTGTTTTACTTTTAAAAAGGAACAAAAAGAAAAAGAGAGAGAAAGAGAGGCAGAGAGAGAGAGAGAGAGAGAGAAAGGGGGGAAGGGAGGGAGGGGTGAGGGAGGAAGGAAAGAAACTCATTCAAAAAGGGAAAGCTAAAAGTATCAGCTTTCCCACACTTTCATGGCTTGTTCCAGAAAAAGGAACAGCTTCTTTACTTGGAGGAACCTGAAAAATGTTTGGCCGGTTCCTTCCTCTTCTCTTCAGCCCGAGCTTCAGTCTCACGAGTGTCATCCAGAGAAGCCAAGACAGGAAGCACAAGTGTCAGAATTGGTTTTCAGCCTCATTGTGCTTTATTTCCTCTTACCACAAACTCATGGCCTGTGATTGTCATGGCATTGTCACCACACGCTGAGCTTTTTATGTACTTAGAGTATATGTGCTTATGGAACATCTAGGTTCCAATCCCCAAACCCAGAATGAGGAAGCAGGTCTCCTTTCACACCGCATCAGAGTTGCATCAGACCGGATGGTGGGAGTGGCAAAGAGCAGAGACCACAAACCGTCAGCCTCTACCTCCAGGCACCAAGGCACCTCATTGTCGTTCCCCCCTCAACCCTTTCCTGGCACAGTGCAGAAGGGCTATGCTTTCTGAAAAGAATACAGCTCTTACTAAAACTGGCAATCAAGCAAAAGGAAAAAAAAATCAAATGACCAGCTATTTTAGAGAATATTTAAATTCCCATGTGCGATGGCACCAAATGCAAACCATTGTTTTGGTCTCATTACTGGAGGAATTCCCAGAGAGAGGGAGCTTGAATCAAGCTGGGGTCCTTGGCCTAAGTGTCTGAAGAGAATTTCAGCACGTGCCAGAGACATAGATTTATTTAGGAAGGCAAATATACATTCAAGGGAGAATGCAGGGCATTTAGAAGCTTTGGGGGTAAAGCAAAGAATACATATTCAAGGGAGAATGAGGTCTATTTCCAGAGGGAGAGACAGCAACTGGTTGGTTTGAGGAGTTGATATTTATAGAGGGAGAGTAGCTAGGGGCTGGACTAGAGGAGGAGTTGGATGATGTTACACAATTTCTTGCCAGTTTCTCTAGAACTCACTCACTGCCCTCCTGTTACTGTTTGCAGACAAGGGCATGGGTCCAGGATGTGGAATAAGGACATAGACTGGGTTGCTCGCTAGGCTAGTGTCCCATTTCAAAGCTGCATTCTAAGGGCACATGGGTGTTTCTCTCTTTAAAAAAAATTTTTTTATTAGTTGTTGATGGCTCTTTTATTTGTTTATTTATATGTGGCACTAAGAATTGAACCCAGTGGTTCACACATGCTAGGCAAGCGCTCTACCACTAAGCCACAACCCCAGACTAATGCTTCTCTTTTGAGACTGTTTCTCTTTCTTTTTCAGTACCTCCTAATTCCTATCTCAGATCTGGCTGTATCCAAAACAGCTGAAAAGAATACATACAGCAGGAGAGAAACTACACCTCAGAAAGAAGTAGACTTTTTGCTTTGGCCAGCATGTGTTGAGGCGGCAAGAATATCATGAGAAGATGTGTCCTTAAAAAGCTGTATCTTCCAACAGGATGGAGCACTATTCTAGGGAAGCATTAATAATGTTCAAATGTTATTGCCTTTGGCTACTAACAAAGTACTACAAATCAGTGACTTAAAATAATGCAACTATCATTGTGCAGCTTCAGAAGGTCTGAAGTCTGAAATGGGTGTCACCGTGTTAAGGTCAATGATAGTGTCCCTATCTCAAGGTCAGCTGATTATCAACTTTATTTATTTATTTTGGTACTGGGGATTGAACCCAGGGATACTTTATCATCAAACTAAGTCTCCAGCCATTTTTATTTTTTATTTTGAAATAAGGTTTTACTAAGTTGCTGAGTTGGTCTTGAACTTGCAATCCTCCTGCCTCAGCCTCTCAAGTTGGTGGAATTACAGATGTGTGCCACCGTGCCTGACTCCTAGACTGATACTTATGTTCAATTCAGCACTTTAACATTACTATTCTGGATCCACTGTATTAACATGGGTCTGTTCTCTATGTGATTAGTGTTCCTTTATAACCTGTGTATCTTCTCATTGCATTTATTATTTCCTTTTTGTCTTTGATGTTCTGAAGTTTCACCATGATGTGTTTTATGTGGATTCGGTTTCATTGTACTTGAGAATTTAGTATGCATTCTCAAACTGAGGCTACATACTATTTGTTTTCTTTTTTTAAAATTTTTAGTTGTAAGTTGACACAATACCTTTATTTGTTCATTTTTATGTGGTACTGGGGACTAAACCCAGCCCACATACTGTTTCTTTTTTTAAATTCATAGCCAATGGCTCTTCTCCATTTTCTCTAAGCTTTTATAGCTGTGATTTGTGAACTTCTTTTTAGTTCTCTGTTTCATTTACCTTTTCACCTGTTTTATTCTGGTGTTCTATGTTCAAGATGATTTTTCCATATTAATCTTATATTTTTTCAGTTGTTCCTAATATGCTATTTAATTCACATGCTGATTTTGTTTTAAATGACTTTATTTTTAGAAATTCTATTTGATTCTTTTCAACTCTTTTTCATAGAATCTATTCTATGATTTACAATCCTATGAAAATGAACAAGTCACTATAACTGTGTTTATTTTATAGTTTCTTTCAGATTAACCTGGTTTTCCAATTCTCAACATGTTATTCTTCTATTTGTGGTATTTGCTGAGTCTCTTTCTTGGGGAATGATTTCTTCTTTTTGGCTAGAATTTTTTTATTGTAATTATTTTGGGTGGGTATCATCTTCTACCTCCACTGCCCCCACGAATCCCATAAGCATTAGGTTATGAAAACCTTTCACTATTTTGGTAAGAACTCCAGTGGTTTCAATGGCTCTGCTCAGTGTATATCTTCATTTCTTGGTTCAAGTCTCCCAGTCTGTGCAAACAGGACACACTTAGACATCATCAGCAAGGTTTTTATTTTTCATGAGTGATTTTTCTCCCATGTGCCCACACATATGGTAACTTTCTTCACATCTTTCTCAAGCCAATGGACACAATTTTTCAAAGTAGTATTGGCTTTTCTGCATTTTTATTGTCTTAAATTAAAATTCAGATTCAACTCTGAGGCTTCAAAAGTTATTATCTCAGGAGGTTTCTCTCCAGAGCTGGTATCATCCAGTCAACCCATTCAATTCTATGCTTTTGCTACTCTCCAACACTTTCTTAGTCATAATTCATCAACTTAGTTTGGTGCCTTATTGCAAGAATAATAGTGGCATTCTCTGTGATGGTTTTATGAGTCAACTTGGCAAATCTGAACTACATTTTCCCTTCCTAGTATGTTTCTAGTCAGGGATGGCCACAGGAGAAATTGGCTTGAGGCACCTCTCTAAAGACTGATGGAGGCCCAAACTTTCTTCAGTGGATGCACATTTTCCTTGATTTGCTGACTCATCCTGTTGGCGTGGGGCAGCTGCTAGGACCACAGCTCCTCTAGCTTCCTAGGGATTTCTTCCTTTGGCTTCTCCACATCCTGCAGCAGGCAGGAGTGCCCCTCTACAACAGGAGCACCCATTTTCTGTGAGTCATCTACAGCTGTAAGGATGGGGGCGTGGAGGTTGCAGACACAAATGCTGTATGTGTAGACAACATGTAGGTGTGGTCAGGGAAGAGTTGAGCAGGAGATGGGGGAGGTCCCTGGACTGCAGAGCCCTCATCACTCCTTCACCTGAAGAGACGAAAGAGATAGAGGTTTCCAGAAGGAAAAAGGCTATGTGGAGTAGCTACCTTGACAGGCTGTGACCTTTGGTCAAGGAACATGACCACCTCAAGGCAGCTTCTCAGGAAGAAGCCAAGAGAAACAGATACTCTGACCTCACTCCCCTTCCTCTCTCAGCTGTCCTTTTGGGATTACTGATGTCCAAACTCACCTGGAAGCCAGAGAGGTAGGGAGACATTGACACAGAACATCAGGTTGAACTCCTGGGGCAGACAGCAGGGTGGAGACAAGTGGATCTCAAGGAGCAAACAGAAGATGTCCAGCAGAAGTTCTGACTTCTACCACTCTTCCTCATCTTAACAGAAATTACAAGCCAGGTGCAGTGACTCATGCCTGAATTCCCAATGATTTGGGAGGCTGAGGCAGGAGAATCTCAAGCATGAGATTAGCCTCCATAATTTAGTAAGAACCTGTCTCAAAATAATAAATAAATGGAAAGACCTGGGGACATAGCACAGTGGTAGAGAACCCCTGAATTCAGTCCCCAGTACACACACACAAACACACACACACACACACACACACACACACACACACCTTAAGTACAACAAAATTCTTAGTTCAGTAACCTTGATAAGTTAGCAGATAAACATGAGCCATAGGTATGTTACCAAAAGCTCAGTTCTTGTCCCTAATGCCAATCCAATAAGGAGGACACAGTTTTGAGAAAAAGAAAAAAGACGGTTTATTGCTTTGCTAGCCAAGGAGAAGCACAGGGATCTCCTGTCCCACAGGCTGTGATTCTGCCTATCAAGTGGAACAATAAAGAAATGATTGAAAGGCTACATTCCACGAGTTCTCTGTCCAGAGTTTGTAATTCACTTGTGAATTTAGAAGATAGTCATTTCTGAAATCTTCTGGAGCCATGCAAGTCTGAATTACTTCCTTCCTGTGGTGAGTGAGTTCTCAAGGACAGATAACTCTGCCTAGGATGGGGAAGACAGGTAATCCTGTTTCCCTGAGATTAGGAAGCGGGAGAGATTAGGGAGCAGAGAGAGAGGAAGAGAAAGAAACATGTTGGTTTTAAAAATAAGTAGCAGTGGCAGAGCAGCAAGGGCTATATTCAGATCATGAAGTGGACCACTGTAACAGGAACAGGAAGGTAAGGGGGTAGCAGTGGTCCACTTCATGCTTTGAATACTGCCCTTACTGCTCTAAACAGACATCTATTTTTTTCTCTCCTCCCTTATCTTTCTTTCCTGATCTCTCCTCTCTAATCTTCTTCTCATTTCAGCGGAGGGTAGTGGTGGAGGATTCCTTTGGATCACCTTTTTAAAAATCCAGTTGATGGGCAGAATTACAGGATCCAGGACAGGAGGTCCCCTGTGTTTCTCCTTTGCTAGCAAAGCAATAAAACTTCTTTTTGCCTTTTTCTCAAATCATGTCATCATTTGGATTGGCATCAGGGACAAGGACCAAGCTTTCTGTAACAAGGAGACAATTCTGTAGACTTGGTCAACTGTGTGGTCCCCCTCCCATCCATATGCTTTTTTATTTATTTATTTTTTTTAATTGGTGCATTATAGTTGTACATAATGGTTTGATTATTGTTATATATTCCTACATGTACAGGATATAACAATATAATTTGGGGCTGAGGATGTGGCTCAAGCGGTAGCGCGCTCACCTGGCATGCATGCGGCCCGGGTTCGATCCTCAGCACCACATACAAATGAAGATGTTGTGTCCGCCAAATACTAAAAAATAAATATTAAAATTTTCTCTCTCACTCTTTAAAAAAATATATAATTTGGCTAATCCTTGTGTCTTCTTTTTAAAAGCTATTTACCTAAGGCCAGTTAGGCCTGCTCTGGCTTAAGTTAATAGGATATTACATTTCTTTACAAACAACCCATTATCTTTTGGATTATGTTTGCAAGGACAGAGGAATTTAAGACTCCTCCCTCCCGATAAGAACACAAGTTACCATGAAATGGGACTTTTCTGTTTTGTTTTGTTTTGTTTTTGGAAAGGAAACTTTTATAACTTTTCTCAAAGCCATAAAATCTGTAAAAAAGCCTTTTCCAATTAGAACTTGTCAGCACTGGCCAAGGTGACTCAGGGTTGCATTTAGATTAAGCAATTACAATAATAACTTTTCCCCCATGGGTTTCACTTGGATACCCTGGGTAAGACCATGCACAGTAGGTACTTAAAAAATATGATGTGATCCTACTGTCAGTCAAAAGTTGAGAGGCAATACCCAGGCAGGACTCTTGAGAAACTTCTCCAAGACACCCCCCCCCAAAAAAAAGTGAGACAAAGAGCCCATTGGCACTCTCCTTACTGAGAGAATCCACGCTCTCCCTTGAGAGCATCTTTCCTCCCTTCTCTTTTCCCTTCTAATAAACTTTGTTATACTTTTACTTAGTCCTATGTCTTGCCTGAAATTTTCTCATGCAAGAATAACAGCTGAGAACTCCCACACAATCTCAGATGTTAACCTCTTGCTCCATCAAGATCTGCTTCACCTCAGAAATCTCTTCATTCAGGAATTAATAATGCTACTGTCATTGACTTCATAATATCTGTCGTCTTCATTTCTGATCACAGGGAATACCACACACACAGAATCCAGGTTGATTTCCCCTTTTGCACCATTTGAATTTCATCTTCTAGGACTTTTGTTACTTCTTAGAGAATGGAGACATTTTTTATTCACATTCTATTATATTTCTCCACTGTGGGCTCTCCTCAAGAGAACCACCTTCTGCGGAGTGGGGAGGATAGTAAGTTTTTTGGCTGGCAACCTGCCTCCTAAAGCAGAGTGTTAAGAAAGAGGACCGGGAGGCTCTGATGTGCAGATTTTCACTGGATTCCCTTGATTTCAACTTATATCCACCCCTCTCACTCCTGTTCACTGTGATTCTGAGAATAAACTTCTGGTCTCAGAGAGGTAGGAGGGTAGTTGCTTAACTTCATGAGGACAGAGGGGAATGCCTGGCCACTCCATACATGGACATCCAGACATCAATGTGGCTGGAGCACAGGGGTCAAAGATGTCCCATTCGCATCCTTTGCCCAGGGCATGGCATAGCGCACCTGACTCAGCCTGCCTGCGGTGTGAGGAGGATTTGCTGGTTCCCAGGGGACTCCTCCTCTGTTGAGCTTTCCTCTGTGACACCAATAGGAGCGACAGACCCACCATCAACCAAAATAGTGTGAAAATCTTTCTCACTTGATGTTCTCGCCTATTCAATTTAGACATAGACATTTTTTAAAAACCTCCTTTGCAGTAATTTTAACAGAGTCCTAGAAGAGAGGGAGGAAAGAACCTATAGCTGATCTGCCATGCTTAATGCAGTTCACACCATCCTTTCTTAACATTTGAACAGGATTTTTGCCTTATGTAATTTTTAATATAAGGGTAACACAGAAACATATTTTAGAAAAAAGTATCACACACAAAAAGATTAAGATTAATTTCAGAAGAGAAGTAACTTTTTTTTTCCTCTTTGGTCTTTAAATAAAAGACCAAATAAAAGGTGGTTGAATAAAAGGTGGTTCTATCTTCCGCTGTGATTGCAATATCAAGAATTGTGAAATTTGACAGGAAACGTGAGGGAAGGGTATGTTGAAATGAGCTCCAGACAAAATGTCCTGTTGCTTATAGAGCTGGTCACCTAAAATGAAAGTTAGGGACACCTAGGACTCTTTCTCTTGGGCTTTTTTGGCCACTTGTTATCTCAGATGGGGAAGGAGAGAAGCTGGGATGAGCAAGGAATTCATGCAGGTCATGGTCAATGACTGAAACAATAGCCAGGTCCATGAGGGAAGGTAATTGTTGTTCTTTAAGCATGACATGCACTTTACAAATATAACATTAGTGAATAACAGATGAACTAACAATTTATGATTATTAATTCGTTAGTCGATTACTGATTAATTAGTGATTCATAATTCAAAATTGTTTTTACCAAGGATAAAACAAACAGGGAGAACATTCCCAGCAGAGGAGACATTGAGGACAAAGGCCTTAAAGTGGGAAAAGCTACATGTTCTCCAGGATGTAAGAGACACCAGTGTGGCTGGAATACAGTGGTTAGTGGCAGGACAGAGAACAATGAGGACAGGGGGCAGGAACATGGAGGATGATTGATGATGAGAAAGCATTGGTGCTCTATAGCACCAGAGAATTGCTGGGGTGAGAAGAGGAGAGTGAGGTGGAGGCCATGGGACAGTGCTCAGACACCTGGATGCCTGAGATAAGATCTAACAGGAGGTGCAATTATTGGTGGCGACAATGTCACATGTGTGATTTCAGGAGTGTGTAGATAGGCTATGGGAGGGGAACAAAAGACCAGAGACAAAGGGGATGAGAGACAGAAGGCAGGCTGGGGTTGGTCATCCACATGGACTCGGGGTTTGGGTGGACAAACTACTTGCACAGAAGCCACTTTGATGACCCCAGAACCCCTTCACCCTACTCTCCACAAATGCCACCCTCTCATCCAGCTGTAATGCCTGACTCAGCTCCCATGGGAAGGTGGGCATTGGGATGGATGAAGCCTGAGTGGCAGCACACGTGGGCTTTGAGAGGCAGCACTGTACAAAGAGACCATTGGACTGACCCCAGGTGGGCAGAACACCAGGTCAGGGGCAGGCCCTCAAACCCACAGTGGGTTCCCTAAACTAAAAAACAATGAGTGTGTCTGAATTCCTCTTTTGGAAATGGTGAAAGAGATGAGCCTTCTGTCTTTATTTTATTGACACACATAAGTATGGAAACCTAGAAGAGAAAGCAGGAGAAGTTGGGCTGGAAACTCTTAGGACTCATGAGGACCACCTGAGGGGTCATGGGTCTTACAAAGGGCATCTGTCCAAACTATGGCCATGATGGACAGTTAGGGTATCCATTCAGGCTGCTTTAACAAAATATTGTAGACAGGGTAGCTTATAAATAACCTTCATTTCTCATGGTTCTGGATGCTGGGAAGTCCAAGATCAAGGTACCCATAGATCTGGAGTCTGATGAGGATGTGTTTCCTAGTTCATACATGGCACCCTCTAGCTCAGTTTATATGTGGAGGAAAAAAAGGAGCAAGACAGGTCTTTGGGAGCATTTTCAAAAGGGTACTAATCACATAATTACATCCCAGAGGCTCCATCTGCTAAAATCATATGGATTGTGAAAAGTGGAGGGCATCTGATATAACCTCTTATTTGAACAAGAAAGGAAGTGGGTCTCAGAGAAGTTGGACAATTTGCCTAAGATGGTTCATTTGCTGAAGTGGCAAGGGCAGGATTTGAACTTGGACCTGTTGGACTCTAAACATGTGCTCTTTACTGAACTCTGGCAACCAGAGCAGGGAAACAGTTCCATTTGGGTTCTGAAGGCTAATTGGAAATTATTCAGGAAGGAGAGTAGGGAGGAAGTGGAGTCAGTGTACTAGGCAGAGGGAGCACAGAGAGAGCAGAGCTGAGAGGGTGAGAGAGCCTGATGTGTCCAGGCAGCAGCAAAGGCCACTCAGGGTGGTTAGTTGATTCCACAGAACACTTTCTCCCCTCCAAGCAAGTGAGCTTCTTCCATTCATCATTCCTTCCTGTCAGTCTTCATCTCAATAATTCTCCTTATTCTTCAAAATATATTTCAAGTCAATTCTCCCAGGAAGTCCTGCCATCGGGAGGAAACACCAGGAACACCCAGATGGAGGGTCCTGCTGTCATGTAACTAATCTGTCAAGGTTATGAAAGAAAGGAAAACTGAGGGATTGACCTGGATTAAAGGAGTCTAATGGGACATGATGAATGAAGTGTTTGATTCTGAATTAGAACATGAATGACAAATTTTGTATACAGTCTATAGATTTTTTTCCTAAAGATTATACCATTGTATCCGTCGTGTTATTTTGTTGATTTTGATCACTGAACTCTGATTTATAAAGAACGTCTTTGTTTTTCAGAAATTCCCACCAAAATATTTGGAAGTTTCATTGCTGTAACTTACTCACAAATATACACACTGGCTCATCTTGAGTATTTTAGTCTCCAGAGGAAAGAGTGAGTTTCTAGTGCTTTCATATTAAAAAAAAAAAAAAAAAAGTCTACATGACTGTCCTCACCCTTCAGTTGCTTCAAGGAAGGGGGATGAGGGATACTACTGCCTTAGTTCTTCCACTGGGTATGCATTCTGGTCCTGTCTTATGGACCTCCTCCTTCTTGGGCAGTTTATACCTTTATTGACCCTAAGTCCTGCTGCCTTCTGTATTGGTCCATGTGTGATTCCCCAGTCCCCACCCCTGGCCTGCCCCAGCCCCTCTATGCTTCAAGATATTTTGGTCTGAACTCCTATTATTCACCACTTCCATCTTTTGGTCACTGAGGTCTCAGAGAAGAGGCATAGGTTGGCTCATCTTTCTCCCTAGGAGATGAGCCACAGTTTGCTGGCCAGTGTAAGGATTGTTTATTCTGGGGTCAGTTGTGGTTGGATTTGATCATTTTCAGGGGCTCTTCCAACTCTCAAAATCATGGTATTTCAGGAACTTGTGAGAAATCAGACTAGGGACAGATACAGGCAAAGCTGCCTGTTCTTTCAAATACCTTTGGAAATGTTCTGAGGCAAAGCTATGTCACCAGTGCCCCCTTTTGGTATATTTTCTTCCAGTTCTAAAATTCTGTGGTTTAGGTCTGGGGATTTTGCTCAGTGATATAATGTTTGCATAGCAGTGCAAGTCTCTGTGTTCAATCCCAAACACCGCAAAAATTAATAAAAATAAAATTCTGTGGTTTGATATGTCTTGATACTATAAATAAATTCTGCAAGTAATCACCACTAAAAGACATTATAAAGTTAGAGGTGCAGTCCCCCCTCAACAATGAATCCCTGGAAATTATACAGTGAAAGGAAAAATGATAAACATGATCAAATATTAACAATGCCATAAAATTAGCAATTTTCAAAATATTAATGAAAAAAATCTCCTGTGTTCAAAATATCCACCAAGAAACACATACAAAATAAAACTATTCTACAAGAAATGAAGAACATATGAGTATCACTTTAAAACAAGAATCCATTTATTCTTCATTTTTTGTTCTTTGAATATTTCCTACATTAAAATATTATCCATTTTCAGTTTTTGATTTTAATATATTTTTCTTACCTCTTTGAGAATATCAATTGTCCTTTTGTGAAATGTTTTTCAACTATACGTACCACTCCTATATTTCAAAGTTCTTTTTTTTTCTGTTTGTTTTGATTCCATCCATCATGTAAGAAGTTACCCATTAATATTTTAAATTACTTGTAAAAAAAAAGGGGGCATTTTTGCACTAGGGTAGGGCTGGTGAACAGGCAAGTCTTTGTAAAGTTTTAGGGAAAGAACTCGATGGTCATCCTTATCCGAAGTACACATATGAAGACACGAATTGTTGTGAACATACTTTGCATTCAACCAGAAAATAAAATAAGAAGATATTCTATTTAAATCAAAACAGAAAAGAGGAAATTTAAAAAATGGTTACTTTCTGCTCCATCTTTCTAAAGCTTTTGCGCTGTATCTGGAAATAGCCAGATGACTTAATCTCTAAGAATGTGTCTACATCATATTTAAACTATGTTTTTCAAAAGAATTGATGGGAACTCTACTTAGAATGTCCAGCAACCTGTATGTATTGCCATTTAATGAATGAATTTTCTCTCACTAATTATTTAGTTTTCTATATGCTCTCTGTGGACACAGATAGAAAGATAAATAAAAATTATTCCCTCACAGTGATAAAAGGTAATTAAAGGGTTGCTTAATTTTCTACTGCCTTCAGGAAAAAAATCTCATGACCTTGATACAAGATTAATCTTCCGCCTTTTCTCCAGCTTTCCTTTACAGCCCTCCTAGTATATCTAACTAAATTGAGCTGCTTTCTATGATTCCCAAACTCTCTATCATAATTTCAATTCCATTGCAATATATTTTACTTTTCTTCTCCTTTAAAAAAAATATATTCTTGTCTTGGGCATGGTACTGTCCAAAAAGACTTTTGCTAATTTCCTGCCAAGAAGTGTATATATGTATACACACAGAGAGAGAGAGAGAGAGATGGCAGCTTCCTTGGATCCAAGTAAGGAAAGGGGTATACTTTAACTTTATCTCTTCCTATTATGGTCTCACTCCTGGCCTATCCTAAGCTGTAGGAGTCTTCATTATAGTTCCTGCCTTTTGTATGGTAGGAAAGTGCTGCTGTCCAGGAGCACAAGGTAGAGGAGAAAGCCAAGATGCCTAGGCGGCCTCTGTACCGACTTTTAACTAATCTTCCAAATTCTTGTGCCACCCACACATCAATTTCTAGGGCTACCCAGTGCCTTCAAGTCCTAAAGCAAACGAAGGCAAAAAAACTAAACAAGAAAAGCGAAGAAACACAGCACCAAATTTGACTTGCTCTTTACTGTTCTCAGGACTCAGGCTCAATGCTGTATGTTTTGCTGTGTGTTTTTTAGTCTTCTAATTTGTCTTTAGAATAGGCTTAAACACTATAATCCTCTGCTGACAATTGTCCTATCATTGATTTCCTGCTTTCTTTCAAGTTGACAAGTTTAGGCAAA